AAAAATTTCTCAGGAAAGGGCAGATGTACTTCTATTGCAGATATCAAAACACACAGCTATAACTCATCTGCCCTTTCCCTTGAGGATCATTAATTTATTTACAAAGCCTACAGCCTGTATCCCTGATTATACACTATTTAGAGGACATCTCAAATTACGAGTCAGGATATGCTATCATACTAGTTTGGAATTCAAACTTACAGGAATGGATTTGCAAGAAGAAAACAAGTTAAGGAAGAGATGTGTTCCACATCAGCTCAAGCTTTTCTTTTACATACAAATTCAATTCATTTTGCTCACTGCTGTCCCCTGAACACAATTAGGTGCTTCTCATCTAAAATGGGGAAAGGAAGTTCTAATAATTATTGTGACAAAAAAAGGTAAGTCAGAGTGTCTATTAGCTATCTCAATCTGTGTTTCTTACCTCAAGAAACAATCTCTTGCAGTTGCAAGAGGAAATAAATCCAGAAGAATGATCTCTGACTTTTGGCTTAAGATCACATTGCCATCGTTTGGTCACAATATTCATCATCTGTAAGCTTTAGTCTTCTCCTTCACTTTGATTAGCCTCCACCTCCTTCCTTACAACTGCAGTTGTAAATGACATAAAAAATAGAAGCGTTGTTTTCCAGCAATACCGTCCTAATACTAGCACATCTGCTTCAAGGATCTCACTATGCCTCTTGGAGGTGAAACACTAGAGATTGCTTGCTTTTACACTGACAGCTTTCAAAGCTGCATTTAAATATATATCCTCAGTATGTCATGCATCTGAAGCTTTGCACCTAGCACAGCAAGTAAACTGCTCAAACAAGGGCTAAAACAGCTTAAGGGAAAATCCACTTCAACTACAGTTGTCCAAAAAAAAAAAAAAAAAAAGTGTTAACTGGCAACATATATTACACAGACCCTTCTCTCCAGTTCAGTATAGCTCATACAACTCAAAAAAACAGACTTCTGATAATAATAAACTAATCTCTGACATGCTTCACAACAGAAACCTCAGTGTCATTAGCAGTGCAAAGAGCCTTTTTCTGTCTGTGAACTGGATGACCAGGGTAAACCAATATCCTGAAAGACTAGGCAAAACTTTCCAGAAGACTGTAATTGCCATTTCTGGAAACAATATTCAAATCCCTCGGTTGAGGGCGCTTAGGGAAGGGCAGCAAAGTGGGGGAGTTCAATCGTACAACAATGTAAACATGTTTTTTCTATTCTAATTTAAAATACATGAAGCTAGCCGTTAAGAAAGGCTAAAGAAATCCTCAAGGTTACTACCACTTTGAAAACAGTTAAGCAACAACTAATTTAATGAACTGTATACCATAGTCTTTCAAAAGTTATCAGTACACTACTGAACTCTGCGGTCAGTAGCAATACCACCACCACTGTGGAAACTGATCTACTAGTTTAAGTTGTTCTGGGGCTTTAACACTTTTGGGAAAAATACATCTAGGAAGTCTTACTGCAATGTATTTCTTTCTTTCCACCACAGCTAGTCAGGGCATTTATGATCTAGTATTTTCCACTATAAGGTTTTAAACAACACGCAGCATGGGTGTATATGAAACGGAGTGGTAGCAAGCAGGTGATAAACAGAAGAGAAGCCAAGCATTATACAGAGCAGCAAAAGGAATGTCAAGTGCCCTGTCACCACAGCCGTGAAAGTCTCTTTCTGAGAACAGTACTGTGGCATCTTGACTTGCTTGTGGGTTTCAGGGTGGGTTTTTTTGTTGGTTTTTTTTTGTTTGTTTGTTTTTAAGATTTCCTTTGCTTTGTGTAATTTAGCCATTCCCTAGAAGGTAGAGGTATAAGCCTACAAGAGAATGGAAAAATTTTTTTAGAAAAAGAGAAAGGCTTTCCACGTGCAGGAAAAACACAACCATTCTAAGCACGCTGGAAAAAATGACAAAGTGGACAAACTAAGAAAGGGAATAAAATATCCAGAAAAGAATAAAAAACAAACGTTTTGTGCATTTCCACCAAGCACTTCACTTGGAGGAGCCAGTTCTGGCTTGGTTCCAGCACCTCCGCAGTTCTATTGACTTCAGACTTCCAGCGTCCCGGGACAGCTGTTCTATATACTGTTCAACAAGGAGTATAGCAAGGACACTGAACAAATATTCCAAAAACAAACCAAAGAACTGAGAGCCGTTCTTATTTGGAAAGGTAAGAAGAGCCTGCAAGACAACACAATTTATTTAAGGATTCAGCAGATACCAACATCACAGCTCAGGCTTTGTAGAATCACTGTTACCTTGAGTCTGCAACCATCTCAACTCACTACAATAAGGCAATACCTCGCTCAGCATAAGCAAAAACAGTATCTGAATGCATGGCACGAAACAGGAACTCCAAATCACAAGAAAATGAGTGAAACACAACAATTCTCTATTTAATTCACACATAGACATGAACATACGACAACAGCAAATTACCCTTAACTTTCTTCTATTTCAGTGATGGTTACTTGAGGTTTGAAATGTGCTATAGAGGAGTTGCAGAGAGCTCAAGCTGGTTGTACCCCTCAGTTCAGTTTACAATTGTCTCCATCCTCACCATTACATATCTTGCCAATATGCTGCATCCATTGTTTACCTCTAGAAAAAAAATCACTGTTACAGCTACAAAAGCCACAATGAACCACCCTTTTATAGTCAAAGAAACCTTCCTTTCTTTTTCTGTTCCTTCCTCCAAAATGCTGTATGTGCCTTTTTCCTCAGGCTGTAGTAGGAAATGCAATGAGTTAAATGTGTTTGGTGGTTATCCACTTCTTGGAAACCCAACTAAACTGCAGAAAAATGCATCCAAAGGCTTTTTGTTGGTTTGGCTACGACACAATACATTTTATTCTTTTTTCACAGCAGTCATCTTACAGTTCACGAAAATTAACACATTCAGTCATGTCCACATAATGCTCACAGTCCTGAGGAGTAATTCCATAGCAAAAGTCTGCAATCTTTTCCAGACTGAAATATAGACTTCTAGATTTGTTAAATTAAATTTGTGTCTCAACAGATAGGAGGCAGAACTACTTTTCCCACCTATGATGCAACAAACAAATATGAGGCCTTAACATAGCTGTCCTCAAATTTCAAATGTCTAAAGAGACAAAACAAAAAAAACTTGAAATATCATTCAAACCTAAAAATATAAAATTAAAAGACCACAAAAATTAATTAACACACAGTAATACAGTCAAACACAATGCTAGAAAGACAACAAATTACAATACAAAAAAATTCAAACAAGGTGAGAAAAAAATTTAAAGAAATCACATGTTCCCAAATCTGTATCAATTCAAGTGCATAAGAAACACCCACACATGGAAAACAGCAGCAGCAAACAAACAAAAAATAGCCAGAAAGAGCTCTGAGAAGAGATGAAAAGGAAGGTTAACAGCAGGCAATCCACAGAAGATGAAGCTAGCCCTGATTTAAAGTTTTTCAGCTTAGGAAGTACAGTTCTGTCCAAAAGCACTGCATAATGGGCTAGTTTTAGTATAGCATTTCAGCATGTGTTCAACAGCAAGCACATCCTGGTCTGCTTCGCTGAGTCAGAACTACAGGGCTCTGCACCTAAACAACAAAGTACATATTCCATAAGCCATATCTTTTCCAACTCTTGTGCTATGGAGTACGCTATCTATTTGAAGTGGAAAGCAATTTAAAAAAGACTTAGGTAAATAAAGCCTGTCTTTATGATGCATCTGAAATTTGAAGCAACATGTTTCCTTCACCATATATTTTTATTTAACAGAAAGAAAGTATTTGACTGTTTCTGGATAACACCTCCTGTACTGCCTGCTACTATTTCCACATTAAAAAGCTAGATATCTTTCAAGGCTATGCAGATAAGTATAAACTTGCTGCCTAAATCTGGCTTCAATTCAGCACTGAAGACAGACAGTACAGATATTTGAGATTTTTAAGAATCAAGAATATAGACATCAAGGGACATAGTAGTCCTCCAGTAACCACAAAAGGACATGGAGAATGATGTATGAGGCCACCAAGAGCAAGAAATCATTTAGTAGCTGCTTCTCAATTTTGTGTTGTATTTTCATATTTATTTATTAGGTAATATCACCAAATAAATCAGTCTTTTTTCCTAAGCCTGAGTAACTGAAAAACAACCCAAAAAGGGAGACACAATCACTATTTTGCAGTAGATGACACAAATATTTTACACCAGAAGTTCCCTCCCACCCTGCCACTTAAAAGTTTCAAAAATAAGCGGGTGAAGGTGTTGACAGTTCAGCCTGGATTTACCTCCCAAAGAACCAAAGGCTATTTTGTAACACTTTGCAGTTCTGTTAACAGCTTGCATTAAGGATCAACGTTTTTACAAGATTTATTAAAACCTAGCTTTACTTTGAGCAGCTAACCCTTTTAAAGTCCGGAAAGAATCAAAGTCTGCTTGCACAACTGCAGCAAGTCTGTAACAGGTCAGAAAGTTCTCAGTTCCTTATGGCATGACACAAAATTAGACCACTAAGACCTAAAACCCAGTTTTGTTATGTTAATCCTTTTCAGCTGAGTTGCTCTTTGCTTGTCAATTCACAGCTCTCATACCTCCATGTTTTGATGCCTCTGAGGATCATATTCAAGGTGGTAGCCTCTTAGTAGGGAACCAGAATGTAAAAAACAAATAAAAATCACAACTCTCAGAACACATGGAATTTAATAAAATCTACTGAACATACAGAAACGCAGGAGACTTCAGCCTCCCCTTCCCTTGACAGTTTCTCTCTCTCTCCTCTGAAAAATACATTATTTTTCCTAATACCCCCTACCCTAAGAGACCACCAGTACTCCAGAGCTACTTCCCATCAGTCAGGATGGGATTAAATTTTTCAGCTTCATTGCAGCTGTAATAATCTACAGCAAAGCAAACCAAAAAGGCAAGATGTTTTCCATAAAGCCAGGTTACACATTGCCATTAATGTAATGGACATTGCTGAGGGAAGAACAGAGGAATTCACTGAGATAAGTTTTTACCTGAGAACAATCAGCCTTGGCTACTTCTGCAACGGCACTGAGTACACCACAAAGACTGTCTCCCTTTTCTCGGACCAGGAGATAAGCCAGCAGAAGAAAAACATGACTAGGGACTTGAGTTGTAATAGGTAGCAATGATTTCACTGAAGACAACCAGGCAGTAATTGCAGACTTCTCTTTCATGAGCTCCATGATCTTCCAGGTGGTATATAATAAACTGTAAGCACTGGTTATGGGAAAGAGGAGCTTGCTGGACATCTGGGAACAGGTAAAACATACACACAGAGAAATAATCAATAAGTACAGTACCATGAAAGAATAAAAAAAAAACCCCACAGCTAATAAAGTTTTGTCATCCAAAATAAATATTTTGTTGAGGGTCCTAACTCAGTAATCGTAAAGAATAAACTGAAACTGCGATACATTTCTTTCAAATTGTCTCTGTGAATACTTGCACTAAAGTTGACTGAATATGTTGCTAATTTCCTACTCAGCAGTTCCCCCTTTACTTGGCATCCATCATTCCTGTTTCTGTGGATAATTAAAGTACCGCTTCCTCACTGAAATGGACACGATAAAACTGGAATACGTTAAAAATCTCTGTTCCTGACAATGGCACGTGCATCATAAAAATATATAATTGATACACTGATCGTTTTAAGAAAATTCTCTTAATTTTTCATAGCCCTCTATAATATAAACACCATGGCTTAAGTTAAACAGAAATAAAGTTTCACTTCTCAGAACAAAATGTTTTATAGATGCAGTCATAGAAGACCAGGTTGGAAGTAGGAAAGAAGTACAATATCAATGAGAAGTCACAGTTCTTTTTACTCTTCCCCAGTCAGGTCTTTATATAAAATATATGTATTTTTAAAAGCTCCTGTAAATAAACATTTAAGTTCAGAATTTTTTTTTATTAAAACAGCAACAAAAAACCCTCATCCAAAAGAAACCACTTTACTCTTTCCTACTAATTCCTGCTTCCAAAAGCATCACATTTTCTGAAGAAACATCTTTCCATTAACAAGACTATAATTGACAGGCAGTGATTAAATGCAGAATGCTCATATAAGAGGCAGGTCAAGAAAGCATTTGAAAAAGAGGTCCCTGGCTGAAAATTATAAGTGGAATTCAGACTTCATCAGGTGCAGGGCCCATTCATCTTTGAATTACAAGGGAAAAGAGAGATAGTCACTGAGTAGCAAAAGCTGTTCTGCATAAAACTGCACAGTTCTGTTTTAGTCACATTGCTCAATGCAATGTAAATTTATTTTGTCTAATGGGAAGAAGAATGCCCTTGTACTTTAGATGACCTTTTTAAAATAGCACTTAATCTAGAATTAACTTATTCCAATACTTATTCCATTACAGTTACTGTATGTGGAAAAACTCAGCAACCTACAGTGCCATCTCTCTCACTGGCAAGATCACTTAAAGCCAAAATCCTCTTCTGGCTATACACGCTTGTGAAATTGCCATATATCGATACAACTATTTAAACCTTATCTAAGGACATACAGTGGTCTAAGAAGAGCTTCAATACCTTTACGCTATACTGCTTAGCTGCCTCACCCTACAGATTTTAGGATTTGAAATCAAGATCAGACGTTCACAGTCAATTTATCAATGCCTGGGAAAAAGCTGCTAGAATTGGTAGAGTCTGAAATAGTAAGCTGATGTTTCCCATTCCTCGTTGCTTCCCTAAAGGTTTTGCCCCAGGGTCTTACTCCCTTCCTTCTCCCTTTATTTCACCTGCATGAAAAGAAGCTATCACCATATTTTTACCTTACTACACCTCATTTCAGCCTGCTAGGTTGAAAACCTCAAGCTGACAGCACAGAAAAAATATATATAAATCCCTTTAATGGCAAAGCAGCTGTTCAGGTTAGGCATGTTTTAACATTTTTCAAAACCTTGGAACAATTTCCCACTGCCACCTCAGAAAAAGCCCTTGAAGACAATACATTATAACTCAACTGTGTTTGCTCTCAAGTTATTCAAAGACTGATCACTGCTCTGTGAAGACACACTTGCTCCTTTTTCTTTCTTACCAGTGAAAAGAGCAACCACTGTTTGGTGAAAGTCTAAAGTGAGGAAAACCCTTTAAAGATTGTATTCTCTTAGTATTTATCAGATCCTGCAGCATAAGCGGACTGAACTCATGGGAACATTAAATAGGAAATCTAAATTTTTAAACCTTTCAACCGAGAATCGAAGTTTATCACACACTTTCTGCAAACAGTAACCAGGCAAAATGAGCATCCGTCTCGCCATTCTTATTGCCTCACATATTACCAAAGATCTGCCACACTACTTGCTACAAACTTCACAGGGATGCATGTCTACCAGTGAGCCAGAAACGGTCAGTTTGTCAGAGATCCCCACTAAAAACAAGAGTTTCTGCTAGCCACTTGAGGCTGGAAAAAAAGTTAAAATTATCACAAACTATTTAAACCCTTAAAAATAAAGCTTTCTTTCTAGAGCAAATACCAAATACCGTAATTACTATAGCAAAGTTCCCTTACAGAAAGCCAGTGATACACAATATACCGTAATCTGTGTCCTATAGCAACATAACAATGTCATAAGACATTAAACTAGCTTCTCAAAACACAGACAGCAACCTAAGAAAAACGATGCCAAGCACTGGCTTCGAGGTGCCTATCAAAAGAAGGCTTAAGAGTATTTCAGCTATGCTCTGTTGTTCACAAAAGATCATACACATTCAGAACTAACCTACTTTCTGTTTTCATTTTGACTACACTTGTCACTTCTTTTTTGCAGTTGCTGTGTGGCTGGGCCAGTGACACTAAGCATACAGGACTCAAGCGTATGGGACACCTGCTACGGAAATAAACCTCCAGTGACAGTACAGGCTGCTCCCTGGACAATCATATCAAGGGAAGGCGAGCAGCTCTCCACCCTTGCAGCCAACCTAGAGGCCATTCTTTGAGAGCAGAATTAGGAAAGCACGCTTTAGTAGAGGCTAAAACATTCATTTTTCATTACGAGTGCAAATGGGCTTGCATTTCTAGAACTACAGAAACGGAAAAATCAAGTTGGAGAGGGATTCTGGAACAACAGAACACAGCATAAACCATAACCGGCCTTTCTTTTTCTTCCTTCTCTCCAGACCATCACATCACCACCCTGCCTACCACAGGTAACAGAGGTAGGAAGAAAGAGTTCATCTTCGACAGCGCTAACAATATCTTGATGAAAAAGGACCTCTTATCACCTGTTCTCAGAATAGGTGGGACAGAAGGATGGAGGTCAGCTAAGAAGCATATAAGTAAATGAAAAAAGCAAACAAACAAAAAGCCCATATGAAATTATCCATGATAATTAGCTGAAAAATAAATTAGTGGCACTTCTAAGTGCTCTCTAACCCCCTTCTTCTCCTGAAAGAGAGTGGTGTCTAAAAGGCACATACAACAAAGGGATAAGGGACTTAAGAAAGGGATGAAGTTAATCAGAACAAGCTAGAGTCTGAAAAAGACAAAATAAACTATAGATAAGCTAGTTTTCTACCAAGTCCTGTTATTTAACCAATAATGTAGGTGAACTCCTTAACGTGTAGTCTCTGAAAGGAAAAAAGCCCATGTCATAAATAAAACCACATCTAGCACACAAATACAGTTTAATTTTAGTAGTATGGTTTAGTAGTATGGTTTACGTGTTTTATGTATTTGTGACTGTTTCCATAAAATATATCACACAAATAAGCTCATACATGCAGCCTCTTTACTAGTCAGCTAGGCATAATGCCTTGAAACTGTTGAATGCTTCCCATACCCGCCCCAAAAGAAGGGGAAAAACCTAACTTAAAACATACCAATTCCTTTCTATCCTTCACATCTTCCTGCTGTAGCATTTCCAAAAGATTTATAGCCAACTGCTGCCTGGTAGTACCAGAATCTTCCTCTGATAGGCAGTCCCCAACTGATGTGGAAGATAAGATCTGTAACACAGGCATCACCAGAACAAGGGCTGTGGTTGGGATGTTCTGAGTTTCTGAACAGGAAAGGAGCTTGTAGGCTATTTAAGAGGGGGAAAAAAAAAAATCGGTATGGAAAAAGGAACCAACATTAGCTGTAATTTTAAGCATGATATAAACATTTCTAGGAAACATTCTGATCAAGCAAAGTAACAGACCCAGAAATTACAGTATGTGCATACTAGAGTTAAAAAAAAAAACTTTTTTTTTTTTTTTTTTGGTAGAACTCCAAGCCTGTCTGGAGGCACATACACTTCTGGCCTTTACACCACAGCACCTGATAGCAAGAAATATAATAATGGAATGTAGCAGAGTCTCTCACTTTATTGAAGTGCCTCCAGTGCACTAATCAAAATCATTAGTTGAAAGTCAGCAAACACTGCCAAGACTGACAGGCCTGAGCTCTTAAGATCTGTTGAAAGAAACAGTACAGGAGGCATGGATCTCATGTGAAAATACCCTACTGTCAATACAAAAACGAAACATACATAAGCTACAGAACAGCAAGGAGCTCAGTAACATCCACGTAGCAAGTCAGTGCAGCGGGAAAACTAATCCTTATTGCCACCATATTAGACGTTCACTTTTTTCTTTTAACAGAAAGAAACAAAGAGACCTTCTTAAGAGTGTGGTTTCCTCTGTCAGAAGGACTTTACCTAGACTCAAGATAGGCTTCTGCTGACTTGCTGGTGTTTGCAGCAATAGTAGGGCTAAACCAATTATGTACTGTTCCATTGGAAAAACCTACAAAGGAAGAAAGAAAAAGGTTCAAGTCTCCTTTATTTTCCAGTGCAGACAAACGGTGGAAATTGGCAGCAACCGAAACTCTTGTGTGTGCATTCACTATGATAGGTGAAGAAACTCCTTACACTGACACAATGCATGCAGCAAAGAACACAAATAGCATAACAGAAGTGCTATTCTAATTGAGTAACTACAACATTCTGATTTGTTACTTGGTTCAAACCATTTTGGCTTAATTTAATTTCCAAAGTAAAAGGCTAATTAACAAATACAGAATTAGCTAATTATAGTTTCTGCCTTCTGAAGGTTTTCAACCATGGGGGGGAAAAAAAAAAAAAACCCAAGAAGCTTTCAAGACAACAGTGGTTACTTCCAGATGAATGTCACATATTGATGCCTTGAAATCTTAACGTGATGTTCTTGCCACTTAATATTATTTCTTGGTTTTCCACAAAATCCTACCTCTTTTAGGAGCTCAAAGTGGTCCTCTATTAAGGAGATCACAGATGAACATTCCCCTGTTATATTCAAACACACTTCACAGAAGCATAACAGTTGCAGACAAAACTGGGATAACTGGACTTTCCAAAACACAGGATAGCGCAGTAGGCTGAGGAATAGCTCTTGCAGAAGAAACAAGGCTTCTGTAACTTGTGCCAAGTCCTTAAGCTGTAAAGTAAAAAAGTGGTTAAAAAAATTATCTGTTGTAGTTTTTCCTTTCCTACCTGTGCAGAATCCCCTCAAATTTAAAATTAGTTCAATTAGCTGTACAATCTTTCCATTACGAGTATTAGTAAGACTTTGAAGAAATATCTGGAGACTAAATCTAGGAATCTCCTACCAATAGATGAACTGTCATTTAATACTCTGAAGAAAAATTGGACACATGAAAGAATAAAGATTTTTTGTTAGGGCTGTTGAGAAAAATTCCTTTTTCCTTGATTTTGCTATTGCACTCAATTTGGCTCTTCAGCTTCTCTCAGTCATTGCCAAATAAAACAAACCGCATGGGGATTTCATATAGCAGGTAAGTATTCTTCTAATGGAAATACCCTCTCCCAGGAAATCCATTTCCCTTGTAGTTTAATCAAGATTTTGATATATGTCTCAAAAGAGAAAGGCAGCAGCATTCCCTTCTTCTAGCATATCATGTAAGTTTACCTAGTAAAGAAAGAAAACCTGGAATATACCATACCCAAAAGCAAAATCCCTATGCTCAGGAAGCCAAGCAAAGACCTTTCAAGTAGTAGGTTGCCTCAAAAGCCTAATGCATTAAATATTACAGGTGTTCTTCTCTTGAAAATTCTAACTCAGGTCAAACCCAGCTCTTCTGATCCAAGTTCTGGAGCTGGCATTAAGTCCTAATCTTGCCTATGCTAGAGTTTACTCTGAGGGACCAAAGAACAACAAATCAACTGCTCTAACTGGGACCATCATGCCCACTGAATTCATCAACAGAAGAGTCTGCAGGTGGCCAACTGTACCTCTGACGAGTGGTTCACACTAAGACGAAATGATTAGGAAGTGTATCAGCAATTATGCAATACAAAGGATTAAACAAGGCTGATACTAAAGAAAAGATAAAACAGACTTGGGGTTAAGAGGAGAAGGAACGACAGACTATGAAACAATGCATCAGACCAGCTTTAAGTTTCCTGAAGCAAGTATTCTCATTTCGACTATGAAAGGTTCATCCTGGGCAGGCCAAAAGTCATACAGTGGATAAAATTAAAAGTACTCATACAAGTTTAGGAAAGCAACAAATTTCTAGGAAAAAAAGCAGAAGTGCCCCTGAGCATGACAGAAAAAAAAAAAAAGGCTCATAACTAATTTTATGAGCACTCTTTGGTGTCATTTTCATAGCTTATTTTTAACAATTTGAAAGCTTGTTCATATATTCAGGACACAATGCTAAACTGAAGCCCAGGCAGATTGAAGACAGTCTGGAATCATTCTTATGATCAAAAAGACCAGCATGCACTTGTCAGCCACAAAGAGTAGATCTGAATCAGGATAAATGTGTATAATAAGCACTATTATTTGTCCAAAAGATGATAAAAAGTAACTGCCAATAAAAAAAAAATAAAAAACACTTTACTGGTAAAATTCCAGTGGAGGGAGAAGGTTCCAATATCCTCATATCAAGCCTATTCAGTTTTTGATGATCAATATTATAAAACCCTCTCTCTCTTCGGCAGGAACATCATAGCATCTCAGATTTGAGTGAATTTATTTGACTAGAAAGATGCCATTCTATGCATTTTACAGAGAAAGGAAAAAGGTACAGAGATAGAACAATCAAGTTTGACCAATGTCACAGTAAAGCATCAGAGCAGAGAAATGAACTCTGCCCCCTATCCAAAAAGGATGGAAAGACTAAGCCCCTAGCTCCCAGCAAACATGACTGTGTAACTTAAAAGGACATTGCAAAACTTCAGCATATTCTAAAAGAGATCAAGTTTTATCTTCAGATCCACCATCCCTTAAACAATAAAACAGACAGAATTCATGCAAGAGTACACGAGTGCTCCTCATTAAGCTCGTTTCATTTTTAATATTACCTATGTCAATTTACAAATTGCATGTTTTTGACAAAAGGATCACTATGCAACAACATGCCGTCTCTCATATACGTTTACTGGACATTTACAGCAGCCATTAATGGCAAATAATTACTGCAAACACGTATTTCAATTTACACCTTATTTGGCAGATTTGAGCACTTTAAAAGCTTTACCTTTCCTCAGGAAAAACTGGTATTTTAGATTTCTGTTGTACTACCAAGAAATCAAGACTATAGGAAATGGAAGACAGCACTGTATTTGCACACTGGAAGGACAACAACGATACTGTCATTGCTTTGATAAAGTAAAGTAAAAGGCTACCACTCACCTGAAGGTGTGGAACAAAATCACACAGAAGTAGAATAATCTGGCATTCCAGCACAGATGGTGCTTCCTTGTTCTTTGGACCACGTCGCTGAAGTAAGATCTTCAGTAGGCCCATTCGCAGCTCTGCATATTCACGTAACTGAGATGGTTCGCAATAGAGGTATCTTAGAAATGGAGCCATTATACCAACACATGAACTCTGTGCCCTGAAGTTCAAGAAAGAAGTTTGCTGAGACTACTTTCTACTGAAAAACGAACAAATAACAAGGAAAACCAAGCAATCTGACATTCCCTGGATCTGCAATAAGATGCAAGGAGTTACAGAAAATTAAGAAAGGTATTACTAAATCTCATAGGAAAAAACAATTTGACTTCTTAGCACCCAGCAGTATCTTACATAACAACTGTACAACAAAGTAGATAGGCAAAAGACCTAGTATTTAAGCATGAACACCACTTCAATTTATACTTACAGGTTACAATGACTTTCTATATTTTATTCTTTTTCTTCTTATCAATTCAAGAAAGTTACTTTCCTTGCTGAATGCTGTAAGAGAGCACTGCACCATATTGAAGCAGTATTTGGACAGCAACTCTCAGAAATGCCATTTTAATTATAAAGCCTGACTTTACATAAGAAAACTCTCCATTCCTTGCCAGTTTTTGTCCAATGATCTTAAACAACTGTATGAAGGAGCCGTGAAACAGTAACTGCTTTAACCAAGCAATTGGATAAGTCGGTCAGAACTTATCACAGAACAGTTCTTTTAACTTGACTTTGTTAGCCAACCTGACTGTTCTTGACACTAAGAAAAATAATCACACAAAGCTAATAGACAATACATGGAAAAAATATATTGGGACTCAAAATTGGGCATCTGTTCCAACAAGGCACAGCCTTCCTACAAAGCTTAAGTAAAAAAAACAACACAGTTACCACAACATATTCTCAATCTATAAGTTTTTTCCTACAGAAACCTTTGCATAAAAAGCAGCAAGATCAACTGTTGTTTAAATTCAAAACAAGCTACCAGCAAAAAATCCAGTGTTCGTTCCAGCAGTCAGGTATCTGACAAGACTCTTCAGGAGTCCCAGATTTAGCTGCTGAATGGAAGAACAAGTCTGCACAAAACATGTAAAAATTACTCTGATTGGACAAAACATACTTTTGCTTGGAATTCTTACCATTGAGCATATAGCCTAGGCCCACTAGAAATTAACAGATGAATAAGTAATCTTGTTTTATCTGTTTATTTGGAGCAACAACATAAAATTCAATTTCACTGTCCTATTACTCTGTCAAATTTGCATAAGTCTTCTAGAAGACAGGAAAAAAGACCTTTTTTTATCTGAAATGTATAAACATAGTTGTAAAAAACATTAAAAGATTAGAACATGAGGCTGCTACAACACTTGGTATCTTGCATTCAAGCTTTATTGAACAAGCTCCTTGGAGATAAGCATGAATGAACGCTGAAGTTGTTGGTAGCGTAGATATTTTAGAAAAATCACAGAACAGTTGAGGTAGAAGGGACCTCTGGAAATAATCTGGTCCACTCCATGCCCACCCTAACCACCACCCCGATTGAAAGCAGGGTCAGCTACAGCAGGTTGCCCAAGACTAGGTGCAGTTTAGCTTTCAGTATTTCTAGGGACAGAGACTCCACAACCTCTCTGGGCAACATGCTCCAGTGTTCAACCACCCTCACAGTAAAGAAGCGTTTTCTTACGTTCAGACAGAATTTCCTCTGTTTCAGTTTGTGTTCGTTGCCTCTTGTCCTGTCACTTGGCACCAGCGTTAAGAGTCTCTTTTTTTAACGCTCTCCCATGAGGTGTACACGTGGATAAGATCCCCCCGAGCCTTCTCTTTTCCAGGCTGAACAGGCCCAGCTCTTGCAGCCTCTCCTCCTATGACAGATGCTTCAGTCCCTTTGCCATCTCTGGGGCCCTCTGCTCGACTCACTGCAGTAAGTTCTGTCTTGTACTGGGGAGCCCAGAATTGGGCCCAGCACCTCAGATGCGGTCTTACCAGGGCTAAGCAGAGGGAAGGATCTCCTCCCTTGACTTGCTGGCAACGCTCTGCCTAATGGAAGAGGCTGCTGACCTTGCCACTTTTGCCACAAGGGTACATTGCTGCCTAACGGTCGGTTGATGTTTTCTGCAAAGCTGCTCTCCAGCTAGTAGGCTCCTAGCATTTTCTGGTGCATGGGATTACTCTTCCCCACGGGCAGAACACGGCACATCACTTTGTTGAACTTCATGAGGTTCTTCTCTGCCCATCTATCCAGCCTGTCAAGGTTCCTCTGAATGGTAACACAACCATCTGGCTTATCAACCACTTCTTCCAGTTTTGTATCATCAGCAAGCTTGCTGGGGGTGCACTCTTGTCCCATCCCCTAGGTGTTTAATGAAGATACCAAACAGTATGGGCCCCAGTATCAACTCCTCCTATACACCACTAGTGACTGGCCTCCAGATGGACTTTGTGCTGCTGATTACAACTCTCAGAGCCTGGCAGTTCAGCCTGTTCTCAGTTTACCTGCTTGCCAACAGATCTAGCTCATTCTTCATCATTTTGTCTATGAGGATCTTAAGGGAGACAATGTCAAAAGCCTTAGTAGAGGTGAGATAAACAATCCACTTAAAGTTGAGATAAACAGTCCACTACTCTCTCCTCATCCACCAGGCCAGTCTCTTCATTGTAGAAGGCTATCAGATTGGTTAAGCATGTTTGTCTTTTTAAATCTGTGCTGAGTACTCCCCTGATCACCTTCTTGTCCTTCACGTGTCTGGAAACGGTTTCTAGGATTATTTGCTCCACCACCTTCCCAGAGAACAAGGTGAGGCTGACAGGCCTTCAGTTTTTCAGACCCTTCTTCCTGAAGATAGCTGTGACATTTACTCTCTTTCAGTCCTCAAGAATCACCTTTAATTGCCATGACCTTTCAAAGATAAAGAGAGTAGCCTTACCGTGATAGCAGACAGCTCCCTCAGCACTTGTGGGTGCATTCCATCAGCAACCATGAGCTTATGTATGTCCTCTTTGTCCAAGTAATCCCTAAGCTGATCCTCCTCCACCAACAGTAAGTCCTCCTCGCTCCAAACTTCCGCTCTTATCTCCTGAATTTGCCTGGTATTCCTGAAGGCTGGTCTTTCCAGTAGAAACTGAGGCGAAGAGGGTATTCAGTATCTCTGCCTTTTCTGTGTCTTTTGTGACCAAGGCCCCTGCCCCATTCAGCAGTGGGTCCACAATTTCCCTAGTCTTCCTTTTGCTGCTTATGTGCCTGTAGAAGCCCTTCTTTTTGCCCTTCGTGTCCGTCACCAGATGCAAATACAGGTGGGCTTTGGCTTTCCTAACCCGATCCCACTCGGGGATATTCCTCCCTATATTCCTCCTGGGTTACCTGTCCCTGCTTCTACCCCCTATCTCTTTCCTGCTTCATTTGAGTTTAGTCAGGAGGAACTTTTTCATGCATGCAGGCCTCCTGCTGCCTTTACCTGATGTCCTGCTTCTAGGGTCAACTGTTCTGAGTTTGGAGAAGGTGATCCTTGAATTCATCAACCAGCTCTCTTGGAGTCCACTTCCCTCCAGGGCCATATCCCATCGAATTCTTCCAGCAGATCCCTGAAGAGCCCAAAGTCTGCTCTCCCAATAACCAGGGTCGTGATCCTGCTTTTTGCCTTGTTGTCTCCCCTCAGGACCCTGAATTCCACCATCTTATGGTCACTGCAGCCAAGACTGCCACCAGCTTCACATCCCTGAACAGACTTTCCTTGTTCGTAAGTATCAGGTTCAGCAAAACATGTCCCCTCATCAGTTCCTCCATTATCTGTGCCAGAAAGTTGTTGTCAACGCATTCCAGAAAGCCCCTGGTTTGCTTCTGCCCTGCTGTGTTGCCCCTCCAGCAGATGTGAGGATGGTTCAAACCCCCCATAAGAGCCAAGGCCTGTGAAAGTGAAGCTTCTTCCAGTTGTCTGAAGAAGGCTGAACTGCTTCTTGTTCCTGATCAGGTGATCTATAGCAGACACCCAACACAGCATCACCAGTGCTGGGCTCCCCACTAACCCTGACCCACAAGCTCTCAGCTGGCCCCTCACCATCCCCAGGCAGAGCTCCAGTCATTCCCACTGCTCTCTCACATAGATGGTGACTCCCCCTCCTCATTGTACTGGCCTGTGCTTCCTAAAGAGCGTGTAGCCATACACTACAATGCTCCAGTTGTGTGAGCTATCCCACTACACCTCTCTGAGTGAGATTGCAGCTCTGTAACTGCACGCAGACTAACTCCTCCAATTTTTCCCCTATGCTGCGTGCATTAGTGTACAGGCACTTCAGAGAGGCATCCCAGTATGATTTCCCTTAAAGGGCATTTCCTCCCTATTTGTGCTCTTTTGTGCTGTTTTTTTTTTTTTTTTTTTAAAACATATGCCTGGGGTGATTCTACTTCAGCTATGTTTTGTCGAATAAGGGGTCGCTTCTGTTCATATCACCCCAGACCCTTTCCTTGCAAACTTCATCCACCACTTCCTCTCTTGACCATTGGTCATTTTGTCCCTCCTGTGTCATTCCTAGTTTAAAGCCCTCCTCACATCAGGCTGGCCAGCCTGCTGGCAAAGATAATTCGGCCTCACTTCATCAGGTGGACTGTTTCGTGTTAAAAACATTTCATAAAAAGGCTGTACCATTTTTTTTTTTTTTTCCAAATCAGGAAGCCTACCCCATTTCTAAAGACATCCTCCTTTACTAAAAACAGACAAACAGATTTAATCTTCCGTTTTCTCTGTATCATCCTCCATTTTGCATAGATAAGTTGCATCTGCTTTGCAGTCCTCTCTTTAACCAAGAAGCCAAAATTTTGACAAATATAGATCATTTTTTATCCCTGCAAAACTCTAGTGGCCAACACACATAGGAGAACGTTTCTGGTGGGATTAGGAAGCTGTTTTTTCATTAATAGTTCAATTACAGTAGCCACAATATCTGACATAATGGGGATCAATTTTCCAGCTTTACTAGGTTTCTATTTTTATGTGCTTACAATGCAAATGATATTCATAAGAAGATTTAATGAAAACTGATGCCTTTCAAAAAACTACCAAAAGCATTATAAAATTTGCACAATTTTTCCTGTTCATAAAAAAAAGCATAGAGAAGTTAAGAAAGAAACAGATTTTTTCCAGTTCTTCAAAAATGTATCCTAGTATTTTATTAGGCTGCAATTTTTAGCCCTTGAGTTTTATAATTACCTTTTCCAAAAGACATCAATTCTTACCATTCACATACATGTCCCTATCACTGTAGCTGCCTTCAAGAACAAATTACATTGATATGATTTAGATATCTTCACTTGTTTCTTTTTGTAGGATTATTTGTTTATTTACCTGTCTGGACACTGCTGGAAAAATGCTGTTATCTGCTGCAGGAGAACTGGCCAGCACTCAGGTCTGTTTTCAAGCACACTGATTAATGGATGAGGAGTGATCCTGAAAAACCAGAGAAATCACATTTGGCTCTGTAATGCAGAAAGTGAGCCTGCAGCTAGCCGCAAAATAAAAGCAGCTGTAGAAACAGACAATTTAACCCTCTGCCATTACTAATCCCATCATTAGCTTTGCCAAGACTGTTACATAATCAAAAGAAATTTTCCAGGATCTTTGGGAAACAAAATTAAACTTGATTGCTTATTCAGAAAGTCTGCGTTCACATCACTTCTTTTTTTTCTTTTTCTTTTTCTTTTCCTAAATAAATGCCTAAGGATCACCGTTCAAATGCATGGCCTGATTTGAAGTCATTGGTGGCTGCACTGGGCTGCGCGTTTTTAAAAATTCAATTCTGCATTCAAATATGGAAAACAGGCATCCGAATGCTTGAGTTCAGGAATGAAAATTTGTAGGCAGAGGTGAGAAGGTTTCCCAAATAAAGATATTTTCACAGGTACACTAAACTGCACACTGTTTGGAAAGTCTTCCTCAAACAGCTTTATTAATCCTATTTGTAAGTCCATCATTCATATTTCAAACTTCATAAAAGTTCATCTGAAGGAATTAGTATAGATACAAGAAGCATAGCAGCTGATGAAGCTATTCTGTGTTTAACAACAAGCTTCACAGATAGGTGCTAATATAGCAGGCTACATCCTGACAAAAATGAAACAAGACTAGACTAGCCAGCAAGGCAGGTTATCAAACTGACCCCACCACAGTTAAGGTGCTAGCCCGCTTAGACAAAAAAGCCATAGGTACTTCATCAAGAGACAATGACAAGGTTAAACAATAATATACCTATCTTTTCACATATAAATACGAAAAATTCACATTTGAAGAAAGCCTGAAGATTAAAAACCAAGGGGAAGAGAGCGAGCGAGCTAATTATTCAGAATTCACATAACCATTATGTAATAATAGATAGTACCCACAGAATCCTGTGAACTATATGTCACCTTTCAGTCCAGAGTCTTTTAAAAACAGGTACAAGTCTCCCATCCCTGAAGATGATCACAGTGACTATTACTCAGACCTATCATTTTAAATCTGCTCCCCTTTTTTTTTTTTTTTTTTTTTTTTTTAAATTTCATGCACATGAGCTGTCTCACTCACAGAAAAGCAGATACAGAAGACTGCAAGTGAAGAAGCTGCTAGGTTTCATTTAAATCGAGTTAACTGTATTGTTGTGGCTGATGTAGCCAAATGAGCCTTTTAGAAAGGATTTATAGTGGTGCTTTTGTTTGCTATTGTTTTTTAAAAATCTGTGAAGAGAAGGAAGCCGAAGAGCTGAGGCAGCCTTTTCACTAGAGAAGACAAACACAAACATACATTTAGACATGCTCATATTTAAGCACAGTGCTAAGTCACAAGCATTATTATGAGCAGCACTAAGCAATTCTAGTTCCAGGTGACAGGAATGAAATCTGCAGGAGTCCAGCCTCTTCAAAAAAATTAAACACATATAAATAGCAGACTAATAGTTCTTTTTTCCATTAGAGAATGTAGTTGATTACATAATGTGATGGTGCCTTAAGGCTTCTCTTAAGTGAGCTAGAGAGGTACTACTCATCTGCTGAAAACAGGACCCCTTAGGGATATGCTATAAATACAGATTTTTTTTCCTGGAAAACAATTATCTAATAGACATATATGCTTGAACTAAATGAGCTGCTACCAATTATACTACTTTAGCATTCTCAATGTTATTGCTATTAGAATTCTGGGGAATTAACTGGGTTTGAGGTATTAAGTATTAAGTACCCCCATTAGCTGAATGGAAAGTCTGCTAGGTTTGACAAGCTGGTTACAGAAAATTTTTCATAGTTAATGCATCTTGTTTTCTTCAAGATCTGCTCAAAATAGTGCAACTAACAAAGCAAACTGCAAATACTGCTCTTTCTATTTCAGTAGCAGACTACAGTCAAAAATGACCCACTGAACTCTGTAGCTGTGTAATTCAGGTAACAGTGCTTACCTGTGGGTTATTTACATTCTGCAATAAACTCCTTTTAATAAAAACTCAAAGATACTTGACGCGAAACTAAGTTCTCATCAACTGCCTCTCTCCAAAAGGTTCAAATTGCATTGGATCTTATGGTGCAAGAAAAGGAGCAATCTTGGTCTGACTTACAAAAGTTTGCCACTGAAGGAGATCCACAAAGCAAAAAGTTTTATTAATATGCTCTTAGGCACCAAGAGATAGCTTTTATTTACTGAGGGAGACATAACTTGACATCCATAAATCCATGGGCCCCGATGGGATGCACCCACGAGTGCTGAGGGAGCTGGCGGATGTTATCGCTAGGCCACTCTCCATCGTCTTTGAAAGGTCCTGGAGATCAGGAGAGGTGCCTGAGGACTGGAAGAAAGCCAGTGTCACGCCAGTCTTCAAAAAGGGCAAGCAGGAGGAGCCAGGAAACTCCAGGCCTGTCAGCCTCACCTCCTTCCCTGGCAAGGTGATGGAACAGCTCCTCCTGAAGGTCATCACTAAGCACGTGGAGGACAAGAAGGTGATCAGGAGTAGTCAGCATGGATTCACCAAAGGGAAATCATGCTTGACCAATCTGATAGCCTTCTATGACGGAATGACTGGCTGGGTAGATGAGGGCAGAGCAGTGGATGTTGTCT